CCAGAGAGGGATGGAGGTTACCCTTATCCCATCAGGAGCCCCAGTAGTAACGGTGCAGCCCACGGCAGAGGGCGGGCCATGACCTTGAAAGGCCCGAGGCTTCAGGGGAGAACCTCAGAACGCAGGGGATGGAGACACCCCTGCAGCCCCCTCCAGCACGCCTGTTCCCCAGGTCCGGCTGTAACCTAAGCACTACAGCTGCGCCTGGAGGGGTGACTACGGCCGGCCCCGCCCTCCATCAATCATTCATGTTCCTCAGAACTGAGCCACGCGGGCGCACGTGCACACGCGTGTACGGTACCACAGGGACGCGTGTCCGCAGTCCTCCTCCCAGACTCCCAGGCTGGGAGAGCTCGGGCTGAGACAGCTACATCACGTGATAGGAGCGGGGCGTGCACACGCTCACGTGCACACAGCAGGGCACACACTCGGACACGCTCGTGCATATCTGAGCGTCGAACACACTCGGTGCACGGGACAGAGCCTGTCTGCTCACCGACATGCATATACAAATGTGCAAACCCACCCGTGCGCACTGCGTCCTCCACCCGTGCAGCCGAGTACACGTCACCCACACGGGCACGCATCTCCGTGCACATATGCACATTGCTGTGCACGCACACGCACAGTCCACGCGTCTCCCTCCACATGCCTGAAACACGCACAAACTTGGATCGGGACCTCCAAGGGGTCACACGAGAATACCCTGGTACACAAGCAAGGGTACACACAGATCCGCCCGCACAGGCGGGCGCGCACACGCGTGTGCACACCACACGCACGCGCACGCACGGAGCCTCCCGCGCGCACAGCTTCCCGCAAGGCACTGGTCTCGTCTCCCCTCCCCCTCCGCCGCAGAGCCGGGGGTGGAGGGATGGGGGTGGGGGGTGAGGATAGGGCAGGTAGAGGAAGCCGGGGCCCTACCCCTCCCCAGGCTCGCGACCGCCGCATCCTTCCCCTCATTTAACGCCGGCCAACTTCGTCCCCCTACCCCAGCCCATCAGTCAAATGAAGGTTATGTATGTGCTCCCAGAGGGAGCGCAGCGGACCGTCCGCGAGCTCACCTTGCCCTACACTGATGCGGCGGCGACCCTAGCGGCAGCGACTTTTTTGGCAGCGGCGGTGACAGGGCCCCCAGTGCGCTGATGTGGGGCTGCGTGTCAGCGGAGGCGACGGCAGCGGCTCAGGCCCCTGCAGTCCGCGGTGACGTCCTGCACAGAGGGGCGGGGCTTCATATGCAGATGAGGTCGTGACGCCATTCTGGGGAGGAGCCACAGATGGGGAGGTGGTCCACGGTCGCACGCAGAGCCGGGAGGGGCGGGGTTCTCACGCAGATTGACATGAGAATGGGGCGGGGCCCAGCGAGCTCATCCAGTAGCTAGCAGAAGCGGTGCGGGAGGGGTGGAATCGCCTGCCGGCTCCACCTCTCTTCAGCGTTAGGGAGGCGGGGCTACGCGGCGCCTCCTCATTGGCTTAAGTTCTCGAGCGACGGGCTAAGTAGCCAATCAAAGATTGTCACGCCCTCCTCCTGTCCAATGGCGGTTCCCGAGCGGTTGAAGGGACGAGAGGTTGAGGCCTGGGCTGAGCCTGGGTCTTCTGGGGGTGTTCCCCTTCCCCGCCCCCATGCACCCAGGTCGGAGACTCAGGAGGTCCCCTTCCAGTCCAGGGTGCTGTGACCTCTCCTTAAACCCTCCCTATTCCCAATTTCAGAAAAGAGGAACGGAGGTTCGAGAAGATGCTCCACGTCTCCTATTTATTGGGTTCAACATAAGTAGAAAAGAAGAAAAAGCGGAAATAGGGGTCAAGATAGACTCCGTCTAATTTCAGCTGTAAGACCCAAAAGGGACCGGGCTAGTAGATGCTCCACCCTGTTTCTGAGATGAAGAAAGAAGAAATTGGGATCAAGAGAGTCACCCTTCCCCACCAATTTCCAGAAAAAAGGAAGGGGCTAACGAACGCTCCAGGAACCCCTTTCCTTCCTGCTCCCCATTTTCCAGAGAAAAATTCAACGAAATGCAGGAAGTAGGGCAGAAAAACGGCCTGTCCCTTAAACTCGCAAAGTCTGCGGTAAAAAACCTGGGAAACAGGGAGGATACGAGCGAGGATCAAAGACCCAACAATAAAGACAAGGGGTGGGAGATGCTTTACTCCTCCCTGGTTCCTGAGTTTAAAAAGACAGGGACAGGGCTTCCCTGGTGGCGCAGTGTTTAAGAGTCCGCCTGCCGATGCAGGGGACACGGGTTCGTGCCCCGGTCCGGGAAGATCCCACATGCTGCGGAGCGGCTGGGCCCGTGAGCCATGGCCGCTGAGCCTGCGCGTCCGGAGCCTGTGCTCCGCAACGGGAGAGACCACAACAGTGAGAGGCCCGCGTACCGCACAAAACACAAAAAAAAAAAACAAAAAAAAAAAAAGACAGGGACAGAGAGTTCTCCCTCCTCCATCCTGGCAAAATGAGACTCAGAGATGGAGACTTTGGGGTCCAAGGTGACCTGTCACATCCGTCTTCATGTGAAAAAGTCAGAATTGGGGGAGGGGAGGAAGAACAAGACCTTGGCCTCCATTCCAGGTCTCTGCCCTGACCCCAACTCCGGTCCCCACACCCGGCAGGGGGCGTGTGGCCCCAGGAAAATTCTGATCTCCCTGATTCCTCCTCAGGAGACGAGGGGCGGGGCTTGTCTTTTTTATAAAAAGCTCGCCAGCTGCAGAGGCGCCTAGAAACCAGAATAACTTAGCGCCTGGAGGCCGCCCACTCCCCCCACCCCCGCCCCCAGCGCCCCGGAAGTGCGGAGACGTCCCTCCAGCTCTCCTTGCAGTTGGGAAATCTATTTTTTTCTAAGGATAACATTTTTGTCCCTCCTCTTCACTCAGACTATAAAAGTATCACAAACCCACTGCGGAGAGCTGGGAAGATTCAGAAAAAGATAATGAATAAATATAAATCCACCTCCAATCTCTCCCCACGGGAAGACCAGCAGTCGAGTTCCCGCTTTGGGGTGGGGGATTGGGGGCGGGGGGCTCCAGGCGCTGCCCAGGTGGAGGGGAGGGCGTGCAAGGCAGCTAGGCTCCCTGACCTCCCAATGCATGCTTCCGGGTTTGTACGTGGGTGTCGATCGGAAATACCCACTTATTTTTTTCCCAAAGGGTAAAGGCCCACACCAATGTATACGAGCTTCTGCACAAAGGATTTTGTATTTTATTTTATTTATGTATTTAATCATTTATTTATTTGGCTGCGCTGGGTCTTCGTTGCTACACACGGGCTTTCTCTAGTTCCAGCGAGCAGGGGCTACTCTTCGTTGCGGTGCGCGGGCTTCTCATTGCCGTGGCTTCTCTTGTTGCGGAGCACGGGCTTTAGGCGCGCGGGCTTCAGTAGTTGTGGCACACAGACTCAGTAGTTGTGGCGCACGAGTTTAGTTGCTCCACGGCATGTGGGATCTTCCCGGACCAGGGCTCGAACCCGTGTCCCTTGCATTAGCAGACGGTTTCTTAACCACTGCGCCACCAGGGAAGTCCCAGGATTTTGTATTTTAAAATAAAAATAATGGAAGGATTTATTGTTAAGAATAAGCATAAGGCTGTGGAATTAGGGATGGTCGAATTGGAGGTGAGGACTACAGACTTGAGGGGAGATGTTCTGTGTGGTCCGAGCAACAGAGCTGCATAGGAGAAGGGCCCCAAACCCTCTCAGATCCCATCCACTACCTCATCTTTCTCCTCTCCCTCCTCGAGGTTCCAGGTGCAACCTTGCCTCAGGGCCTTTGCACCTGCTGTGTCCTCTTCCCCAGGTATTTCTGTGCCTGGCTCTCTCATCCCCTTCAGATCTTCAATCAACACCCACCTCCCTCCAGAAGTTCTGATTTCACCATGTCACCTCCTATCATGTCACCATAGTTTTCCTTCCTGATACCTCCCCATTAGAAATGATCATGTTGACTTATTTATCCAATAGCCAGCCGTGAGCTTTGAAAGGCGGGGATCAGTGTCCCCAGCACCTACACCTTTGGACACAGTAGGTGCCCTGTGATGGTATGACATGAATGAATGAACAAATGAATGATTGGAAGGAACGTGACTTTGGCCACTGAGGTTAGGGAAGACCTCTCTGAGGAAGTAACATTTGAGCAGGAATCTGAAGGAGGAGAATGAGCTGGCCACTGGGAGAAGTGGGGGAACAGTGCTCCAGACAGCAAGAACAGCAAGTTCAAAGGCCCTGAGGCTGGAACTCACTAAACAAGCTCGAGGGACAACCCCTCTCCAGCTCTGTGAGGAAGGGGGGCCAGGCAACATTTTCTCCCTCAACAGAGGGCAAACTGAGGCCCTACGAGTCACCCTAGGAGTTCACAAGGGCTGAAAGTTCCCAGGGGCCCTAAAGATCTTCTCCCACCCTCCTCTTTGGGTCTAGAGTGGGCCACAAAGGCAAGGACTATGTCCCTCAGGAAGGACCCTAAACGGGAGGAAATGGGAGACCTGGAGCATGTGAGTGACTTCTTCCTCATCCCCTCTGTGAGCCTCAGTTTCTATACCTGTGAAGAAAGAGCTCAGGACATGCTTTCCTCAAACAATACCTGTTGTTACAATTCTGTGATCCTCACAAAGAGCACATTTTACCCGCGAAATGACAAAGGCTCGGGGAGGTTAAGAGATTTGTTGACGTTGGCAAAGACTGCCAGAGAGCTTCCACCAGTGCCAGCCTGGGGTGGGAGGGGGAGGGTCAGGAAGGACTTCCTGGAGAAGGGGATGCTGAGCTGAGACCCAAAGCGGGAGGATGAGGGAGAGAAGTATTCCAGGTAGGGGGCACAGCATGTGCCAAGGGCCTGAGGTGGGACTGTGCTTGGGGTGTTAAAAAATCAGTGTGGGTAGCGTGCAGTCAGTAAGGGGAAGAGGGAGGAATACCTGTGGCCCAAAATGAAGGGGGACATATGAGTGTTCTTATGAATGGGTAGAGAAAAAAACAGAGGGAAATAAGGTGAAATGCTGAAGGCAGATGATCTGTGGGTGAGGTTACAGCAGAATTTTATTTTCGTCTTTACATGTTTCCATTATTTTCGGATTCTCTACAGTGACATGTATTACTTGCAAGGTGGAAAGGATAAAAAATATATATAAATAAAAATCCCATAAATCTCTGCCTTTTAAAAGTGTGGAAGGAAATGCACCAAGTTCATGATCCAGATGCCCTTTAATTCTCCCTCTGTGGCATTTGATCATTAATTGTGATGACGATGAATCATCAATGGAATGAAATTATTAATGAAATTATTTAGGAATGAAGCCTGCTGTTCTTGAAGCCAGGGGCTGCTGTGATGACTTGTGCCATGTATAAATCATTAGACACGCGGGGAGGGAGGCTGGGGGTGGGGGGTGGGGTGGGATGGGGGGATACTGAGGCCTCCGGAAGCGAGAATTGAATCTGAGACTTGAGCACAGAGCCGCCTCACCTGCTCTGCACCAGGCCGGCACCCTCAGGGCGAACTCAACCAAGCTGGGTGCGGGAAAGACTTCTGGCAAAGCGAGGAAGGGCCCCGAATTCGCCCCGCCTCCCCGCTGTGCCTCCAGCCACCAGGGGGCGCCGCTGGCTAACGTCTGCCCCCCAGCTACAGGGCCCTGAGCCCTCAGGCCACAGGACCTCTCCGCTCCTGTTTCCCCATCCGTGAAATGGGCACGGTACTAATTATGGGTGATAGAGTTTATTTAAACCCAGAGAATGCCCCATATTTCTAAGATATTTCAGGGAGGTCACAAACACCACCCTCCAACCAAAGTTTACCCAAGTACTAAGGATCAGGCCATGGAGGGGAAACTGAGGCCCAGAAGGGGCTGTGACTCGCAAGAAAGCATCAGAAGCCTCCTTTTCCCTACGGGGAATCTGGTACAGCCTCAGAATCAGAAGATCGAGAGACCTTCCCTGGGGGAGAAGTCTGTGTTGCTGTTCTAGAGAGGGAGAAAGTATAAGCGAGCCAGCAGGGGGTCCTGGGACCAGGGAGGACTAGGATCCTTAGACCTGAAGACAGAAACCACAGCAACTTAAAGCAACAGCCAGTGCACAAGCAATGAAGGCTAAATCAGTCTTCAGAGACAGTTCCTGACACACAGCCCTCTCTTTCATGGCCCCCTATCACCCCCCACCAGAGCTCCAGAGCCAGACTGGGTCTGGATGAAGCTTTGGTGCTGAGAATTCTCCCATTCAAGTTCTTGTTCTCTTGTAATGAGCTGCCTTGCAGGTGAAGGGGAGGTGTCTCGGGGAGGGGGGAACTCCTTGAGGCTGACTCCCCACCTCCTTGTGCAGGGCTAACCCAGAGGCACATAAGAGGCACAGGCCTGGCACACAGTAGGTGCCTGGTAAATATCGGATAAAGAATGAAAAAATAAAGTGATTGACGTGGCTGAAGAGTGACCACTGGAGAAGATGCACAAGGGGCCTGGCAGATACTCCCTTTCTACACCAGGGGTTGAAGTCCAGGAGGGAGAACTCAAGGGCCCTGGAAGAGGCTGCCCCCAGCCCAGCTCCTTGGAGAGCTCTCTCAGCTGAGCTCAGGGTCAGAATGGATCCCGCCAGGTGCCTCCAATTCAACCCTGAGAGCTGTCTGTAGCTAAAAGCCTGATTGTCTCCCTCAGTGGGTGGGGAAGGCAAAGCAGGGGCCACCTGGGACCTCTGCCTGGAAAGTCTACACACCCTTCAGGGGCCACTAGGTGCCCAAAGCCTCAGCCATCACATTGCCCTCATGGTCCACACAGGGCTTGCCCACGGTCCTCTGGTTGTCCAGGTATAGGGCCCCAGGGTCTGGGCTGGCCTCAGGGGACAAGAGCTCAGTGTCAGGTGACTCTGAGGCCTCCCCACCCAGTGCTCCCTCCTCCTCTCCCTCCTCCTCTTCTGCTTCCTGCAGAGTCAGCTGAAACTGGAATCTGTCGGGACCACCCTGCTCGGGGCTGGTGGGCTCCACAGGGCTGCGGGGGATCTTGCTCTGGTACCACTCGCGGTTGTCCTCCAGAGTGTCCAGCAGGTCCTGTGCATCTGGGTGTACCAGGTCAGCCCACGTCTCCCACAGTGGGTGGGCGATGTAGTCAATGAAACCCACCTGTGGGGTGATACAGAATTGGGGGATAGAGGTTGCTGGGTGGTGAGTTACCATGGAACCTAGACCCAGTCCAGCCCCCAGGCCTTTGCCCAGGTTGTTCCCTCTGCCTGGAATGCCATTTCCCAACTCCTACACATCCTTCGAAACCCTCTTCAAATAACCCCTCCTCTTGGAAGACTCCTCTGCCCCTTTTGAGCTCCCCCAACCCCTAAGTCTTTCCCTCTACCTCAGCTCTGACTCCTCAGAGCTGGATGAATGTGTCCCCCAGACTGGGAGCACCTCAAGAATCTCCTATGTCACTCAGAACAGATACTTCCAAACTCCACAAGTGAGTGAAGATGTCTCTTTCGACAGCCCAGAGGAAATACATATCAGGCCTGACTCTGCACAGCCCAGTGCAGACCCTTAGGCCACATCCCCTCATTTGCCAGCCAGGGGTCAAGCCAGGACTCATGGGGTCAGCTCAGCCACTCCTTTCCCTCCCACCTCCCCAGTGCCCACCAGCTCGGCTCATTCACCCTCAGACCTGGGACTTCTCCACTGAGGCCGTGTGCTTATCGCACATAGGGCTGATGTCCAGGCCTGATTCGCGCTCACGGTCGCCCTGCTGGAAGAACTCAGCCATGATGCGGTCTGTCCACTGGCGGTAGAGCGGCAGCGGCTTCGTGGGGTTGCTGAGGTCGGCACAGTGCACCAGGCTCTGCAAGACCTGGTGAGACCGAGGCTCGGGAAGGCTCAGGCCAGGCCACCCCAGGCCTGGTACCCGCCCCAGAGGCTGGCGCCATGGACATACCCATTTTACAGGTGGGGAAACTGAGGCTGGGCAGGGGAAAGGGTGGCTAAGGCACAGCCACGTGACTGTATGTGCCTCCATTTCTTCAAGTTGGGCACGCGGTTGGCACTTCATAAATGTAGTTGAATGAGTGTGGAAACCAAGCCCTTAGGGCTGGCCCAGCCACACACCTGGATGTGGTCGGAGTAGTTGTCTAGCAGCAAGACTCCAAGGCTTGTCACCTTCTTGGTCTCCACCATGGTCTTGAGGTCAGCCAGGATGTTCATGTGTTTGGACATGTCTGTGGCCAGCACCTGGGGGACGGTGAAGGAGGATGGCAGGTATGAGGATAGCGCCTGCCCCACCCCCACTCCCCACTTCCCAGATGCCACACCCACTTGGATCCACAGCCCTCTGAGCCTCAGTGTCCTCATCTGTCAAATGGGGGCATGTATCAAGATTTGCTGTAAACCCAGCTCACAAGAGAAGCTGAGTCAGTAGTCCCTTCTCGGGCTTCCCTGGTGGCGCAGTGGTTGAGAGTCCGCCTGCCGATGCAGGGGACACGGGTTCGTGCCCCGGTCCGGGAGGATCCCACATGCCGCGGAGCGGCTGGGCCCGTGAGCCATGGCCGCTGAGCCTGCGCATCCAGAGCCTGTGCTCCACAACGGGAGAGGCCACAACAGTGAGAGGCCCGCGTACCACACACACACACACGCAAAAAAAAAAGTCCCTTCTCCAAGGTTGCTGGGCTTGTGGGGTGCATCCCACATGTGGGACAGGGCATGAGGGAGGGAGATTAGACCTGGGGGTTGACATGAAACACGCCTGAAGCCCAGCAGATGACTTGGCCAGTGCAAAGGCCCTGAGGCTGAATAAGCTGAGGAACATAGAGGAGAGAGTTGTGGCTAGAACAAACGAGTGCAGGAGCAACATGGGAGCAAGTGAGGGTGACAAGAGTGGGGAGGGCCTCAGGGAGGAGCGGGGGATTTATCCAGAGGGCTGTGGGAGCCACAGGTGGACTGAGTGCTCCCCAAACCTTCCTGTGGCTGCTGCGTGGCCGGGAGGGCTGTTTTTAGCCACCGGAAGGGAAGTTCAGCTCTGAGCACAGCTGCTTAAAAATCATTTAGCTGGACCCATGCGGACCCAGCCCAGGAATGACCCACAGGCTTCTCTGAGAATCAGACCGAAGTCTCAAAACTTCTCCCCAGGGAACTTCCCTGGTGGTCCAGCAGTTAAGACTCCATGTTCCCAACGCAGGGGGTCCGGGTTCGATCCCTGGTCAGGGAACTAGATCCCTCATGCCGCAACTAAGAGCCCGCATGCCACAACTAAAGATCCCGTATGCCACAACTAAAGATCCTGCATGCCGCAACGAAGATCCTGCACACTGCAATGAAGATCCCTCATGCGGCAACTAAGACCCAGCACAGCCAAATAAATAAACAAATATTAAAAAAACGCTTCTCCCCAAACCTCCCATCTGGACCAAATGATGCTTCCACTGGGAGTGCCCACTGCCCAGAGCCCCCACTCTCCCTCAGCAAACTTTTAGTTCCTCTTCACTTGGAGCCTGGTTTCCTCTGAGCCCTCCCCACATGCTGTTCCCCCTGCTGGGAACACTCCTCCCCACCCCATGGTCCTCTACACTCTTCAGGCCCTGACTTCAGTGTTCTCTCCTGGGGAAGCCCTCCTCAACCTTGAGCATCTCTCCATCACAGCTCTGTCTACAGGTCCCCCATCATGGTTCTGCTTGTGGGCCCCCCATCATGGCTCCCACCTATGTGTCCATCTCCCCCACAGACTGTGAGTTTCATAAAGGCCAGAATTCTAATGGTCACTGTCACAGGACAAGCACAATGGATGCCCAATAAATGCTTGTTCAATAAATGAGTTGATGCATAAGACCCCAAAACGTACTGGTGTCTCCCAACTTGAAAAATATCAAATGCACAGACTTAAGGGTCAGAAAAGTTGCACCTGAAACCCCAGAAAGTTTCCACCTTGTTTGCACGTGAATCACATCCAAGACCTGATTAGCCTGACCAAGGGCCTAGTCACCCCTACCCAAGGCTTGGACAGTCATTGCCCCATTTTACAGACCAGGAAGCTCGGACTCAGAATGGGGACATGCCCTGGTCCAACTGAACCCCCAGCCATATCAAGATCGCCCCACCCCATCCATCGTTGTTGTCTCACCATGTCGATGACCATCCTGCGCAGACTCAGCCGCTGCTTGGTGGTGAGGTTCTGGAAGATGTCACAGTTCTCTGCCTGCAGCAGCTTGAAGCCCACAGCCAGGTGGTGGTTCTCCAGCATGGAGGTATCATTGTACATAAGTGCAAGCTCTGAGTCTGTAGGGGAGGTGGAGCACCTCAAGACCTGCCCACCCAACCCACTCCACCCAAAGGCCGGTTCTGTACATTCTCAGTAAACTCCTACTCATGCGTTGAAGCCCCAACTCCAATGCCCCATCCTCCAGGAAGCCTTCTAGGACCCTGTCTCCCCCCGTGGCCCTGCCCTGACTCTGCAGGGCTAGGGGCATCTGTGTTTAGCTCTACCTCCTTGAGACTGGTGACTCCTTGGGGACTTGGCATGGCAGAAGACAGTGCTGTGTGCTGGTTGAGTGAACTACCAAGTCTTTGTCTTATTAGACCCTGGGATCCTCAAGTGAGAGGGCTCCACTCTTATCTCCAGCTCTCCAGGGATGTATATAAGAGGTACCCAATAATTGCTTGTTGACTGAGTTTTTCTGACACCACAAAGGATCCTAAACTTTAAAATCTCAGTGGGCCCAAATCAGCTCTGTCACATTTGTTATTCTCTCATTTACTGAGTATCTACTGCATATCTGGGTCTGCTCTCAGCACCTAAGGGAGGGAAGATTGTGGCAGTCATTTCACCAACAGGGAGACTCAGAGCAGGAACGGGACCACCTAACATCACTTGATTGACAGGTGGTGGCAGGGCCCAGCCCCCTAACTCACTGGTGTTAATGAGAAACTGATTGGAGACCCCAGGATGATCCACATCATGGATGGCGCTTGCAAAGATGGCAGCCAGGACTTCCAGGTCAGTGAACACGGCCTGAGTGGGCACGGAGCATAAGAGGTGAGGGGCAGGCTCTCTGTGCCCTGCACGCACCAGGGCTGCCTGTAGCTGTAGGGCCCTACCTCAAGCGCAGGTGTGGCCAGCAGCACATGTGTAGACTGGGCCACGTCAGCGGCGTGTAGGCTATTGTGGTAGGCCACATCGTTGTGGTAGTGACCCTCCAGTGTCAGTAGGTAGGTGGCAAGTGTGTCTGCTGGGATCCGAAATGTCTTGAGCAGGTCCCGTTCCTGGTGCATCACAGGGCCCCAGTCAGGGCCTCGGCCTCTGGGTGGCAGCACACACTATTCCTATGCCTTCTCTCCTTCTGAATCCCTATCCATCTCTCAAGTGCCCCCTCTTCCAGGATGCCCTCCCTGCTCTCCCTCTGAACTCCCCTGGTCTCTGTCCTTTCCCTCTGGCTCATCTCTGACCCCACAGTTGTTCCCTACAGACTGGGTCTCTTCAGGCCTGGCCCAAGGCTGAGGCTTGAGTCTTGTTGCCAATCAGCAGTGAACTTTTAAACCTAACAAATGCCTATCCATCCTTCAATGCCCCGGCTCAAATGACCCCACTCAGGGATTTTAGGGAGGATTTGAAGAATATGTGTCCCCTGAGGTCCTGAGGTAGGAAGGAGTGAAGGAAACACAAGGGTATTAGAAGCCAAGGGCAGGGGAGGTACCTGAAAGATGCTGAACATGATAGCTGTGAGGGGCCGGTTCCCACTTAGCTCTGCCACCTTGAACACATCAAGCCCCCACTTCTTGGTGTCTTCCAGCTCCTAAAATGTGAAGGACTGGAGCTTAACTGCAACCCAACTTCCCCAGACTCTGGAGCCTCAACCCCCATCCCCAGGCCTCAGGTCCTACACTGAGCCCCACCTGGTCAGTATATAGGTGGGCAAACTGAGGCCCCAAATAGGGTAGCCACACAGAGCCAGGATTCAAACCTGGGTCTCAGCATTCCTATTGTAAACCCACCTTGGCCAGTTGTCCCTCCTGATCAGTCTGGACCCCAAAGCGTGGGACAGTGGCTGCAGAAAGGCTGGTACTGTGGGGGAGTCCACGCAGGCCGCTGATCTGGGACATGGGCCTTGGGGGCTCCGTGGGGGTCACCCTGGGCAACTCCACCTCAGTCTGCTGGTCTGTAGATGGGGCAGGGTAGGGCTCAGAGAAGTCAATTCACCTGCTAGGGTTGGCCTGCGTGGCCTCAAGTACTGGACCTTGCCAAGCCTCAAGATCAACCTATTTCCTTTTTACCTGGACCAAAGTAATCTCAGAGTAAAGTCCTTTCTGGCCTGTAGATACCCTTCTCCTCTGTTCAAGGCTGATCTCAGTGACCTCTTCTGCTGGACATGGCCCCTGGGCACCTGGAGCTTAGTATTTTTCCCAAAACAGTCAAATGTCCTTTCCGTCTCCCAAGCTGGAGACCCAGCTCTGTCGTTCCCTCTATCTCCTCCTTGGCAAACTTCTACTCACGCTTCAAAACCCTAACTTTAATGTCCCCCTCCTCCCGGAAGATCCTTCTGTCCCTCCCTCTGGTCCAGCCCTGCCTCATGGGGCTGGGGGTGTCCGTGTCTGGTTCTATCTTCCTCAGTTGAAGTCTGTAGCAGAAGTCTTTCCTTCCCTTCCCTCTTCCTACCTCTGTAATGTAGCCTAGTCAGTGACCCACCATAGCTCACCCAGGAAGGTTCGGGATATGTACTCAGACACTTGGTTCCCAGAGCTGCTGGCTTCAGACAGGTGAGTCAACTCCCGGTTCAGCATCCACTTGAACTGCAGGGGAAGGTGATGTCAGTGATGATGGGGGCACTGTGGACATAGGCAAGTGATCTCAGTTATCTGGCCCTACTAACCTTGTTGGAGGCCATCTCCCCCACCGAGTGCCGCGCCTGCAGTGTCTCCAGTTGATCCAAACACCAATCCAGCTCGTCCAGTGTCTCCAAAGCCAGCTTCTGCCCAGTGTCCTCTGGGGGCCAAGCTGGTCAGGGGCCTGCCCCACCCCTACTTGGGAACCCTGTGTCCCTCCTGCTCCCATCTCTGCATCTGGACCCTGGATCCCTTCCCAATGAGAATGAGGCCACTCAGGACCCCAGGATCTCCGCATCCCCAAGGGTGTGGGGGGGGGGGGGGGGGGGGGGGGAGGTTTACAATTAGCACAGCCCAAGGATTCATGGGCTGGGGAGGTCCCCATAGAGAGGAAGTTCACAGCTGTCCCACAGTGGAAGGAGGGGATAGGAGCAGGCGCATTACCTGTTGGTGGAGGGGGCTGACTGCCAGATGGGGTGTTCCCGACGCATGCCTGCCTGCAGTACAATCGGCTCAGGAGCGGCCTGCCCCACCCATAGGGCCCCGCCCCCCAAGACCTCCTGGCCCCTGCCCCTCCTCCTCTTCCCCCGATCCCCGAATTGCCAGCCGCGCCCCTTCCGCCCGTGCCCCGCCTCTGCTTTGCCCACCTTGTCTTCTGATCCCGCCCCTCTCCGCCAGGCCCTGCCCTTCTCTCCGCCAGGCCCCGCCCAGCCCCGCCCCCTGCGTACTTGGCTGCCCCGCGGCCTTGCAGGTGGGCAAGGGTCGCAACGTTGCTCCGAACCGTCCTCAGACTGGCCAGGACCTGCGAGGGGGGGTGGCCAGCGTTGGGAAGGAAGGGTCGGCTCTACCTGCCCGGCACACGGGAGAAAGGAGAGGTGGGTACCCACCTGGGCAAAGGGTGTCACAATCACGTCTTCTCCGTGTCTGCGGGGAGACCAGACATGGAAGGGCGGTCAGAGGGAGCACCCCCACACGTTCCCATCTTCCAGTTTTTTCTGGGTTTTTTTTTTTTTCCTTTTTTGCACCACGCGGCATGCGGGATCTTAGTTATTGAACCCGTGCCCCCTGCAGTGGAAGCGCAGAGTCTTAAGCACTGGACTGCCAGGGAAGTCCCCCATCTTTCAGCTTTTACCCACACTGTGCCCTCAGCTGAGGGCATCCTCCTGTCCCGACTCCCTCTTTTGGGTGTCTTCCTAGTAGTTCCTGGACTCCCCTCACCTGACTCTTCTCTGAAAGCAGCCACAGCCCCTCTGACCAATCACTCACTTTATCCCCATCTCACAAATGGAGAATCTGAGTCCCAGGGGCAACAGGGGTCTTAGTAGAGGCAGGAAATTATTGCTACCAGAAAGCTCAAATCAAAGTGTTCGTTCGGTTGCTGTTAATTGGACTTAATGTCACTGGATTGCCACCCAACCCCAGCCTAAAGTGAAGCACAGAGGATCACTGGATATCATTCTTAGCATGTCCTACTGAACAAGCAAATAGGCAAACTCCTACATAAACTTTAAGGCCCACCTCAAACGGTCATTTGAAGGAGGTGTGCCGAATGGAGGAATAAAGGAAGGAAGGAAGTAGAAAGCGGTATTATCCCCCAGCCTCAGACTCACAGGTCGCTAGCCACAGAGGAGTTCCGGGACATGGTCTTGGACGAGAGTTCGTAGTCACTGTCTGAGCGGTACAGGAAGGACTCCCGCCTCTGGCTGTGCTGGGCAGGGGCTTGGATGACCCGGCCAAGGCCAGACCCAGCCTGATGGTCCAGGGCGCTTCTTCCGCATGACAGCCCATTTTCCAGGTCCAAGCTGAAGGAAAAGGAGTCACAGTCAGAGCCGAGGGTCCTGGCATATGGATGCTGGGTCATGGCCTATATCAGTTTTGTCACATCCTCCCTGGGGCCACGCGGTGGGCTGGGCAGGAGTGGCCTGCAGCTTGTCCATCTGTCCCACAGTCACACCCCCACTCAGGGACACTGCCGCGTCCCTCACGCCTCCATCTCCACCTCTGTACCCCAGAGTCTTTTCCACTGGGACTAATCTGGACTCCAGGACGTGAGGTTCAGATCTGTCTCCAAGTGGCTGTTGTGACCACGGGTAGGTCTCAGCTTTTCTATGGACATCAACAACTTTGTTTCTAATATGGGTGTGGTAGTCTTCATCCCCAGGGTGCTTTTAGGGAGCTTTTTAGGGTGCTTTTACCAAGCACCTGAGGAGAGCGACAGGGCTCCCGTATTACTAAGGAGTAAACTGAGGTCCAAGTCGCAGGGTAAGTTCATGGGGATTGGAAACGACTTCCTGGGCTTTCCTCTCTGGAGGGGACCTGGGCCCCGCCTAGATGGGGCACACACGAAGGCTCCTCACAGCCAGGAGAGGCCCCATCCCCAGCCAGCTTTGGCTACGCCCTGGACCACCTGTCCCCTTTCCCCAGCTCCAGCCCATATGGCCCCACCCCAATCTCACCAACCACGCCTCCAGCTCGCTCTGGCCCTATCCTTAGCTCCCCAGTTCTTCCGCTTTATTTTTGGCCTGAACGCTCTGCCTGTTCTCTTCCACCTCTGGGCCTTTGCACAGGATGTGTCCTCTCCCCAGAGGACCGTCCTCCTCCTGTTCCAGGCAATCCCCAATCGCCCCTCCCATCCCTCCCTCCAGCCACACTCTGACGGAATAAGGGGGATCTACTACTCTCACCCTTCGAGTCAGAGGTCAGAGAAAGAGTGGCAGGGGGCATGGGGCTAGAACAGAAGTGTGGGAGGGGGAGTTAGCAACCAGGGAGAGGGGCTGCAAGTGAGTCACAGGTTTCTGAGAAGGGAGCGGGCAGGAAAGACGGAGACAGGAAGACGCCAGGGGCCGCCCCTAGACACGGCCCTCCTGGCCGAGGGCCAGTGTCCACCTGGTCCCTCTCCAGGTCACCCCATCCCAGTCCACGGATGGGATCGGCGCCTGCCAGAAGACTCCGAGCAGGGAATTCGGCTCAGACCGGGTTGAGGGTGGGGAATTCGGCAGGATTCTGTCCGGTTCAGCTGGATTCGGTCCGGCTCGGTCAAGTACGGCCAGGTTTGACTAAGCTGGGTCTGATCATACAGGATTGGACCTCTTCCCCTGAGTTCTGTCGGGTGAGTTCGGTAGAATTCGGCTACAACCGACCGCATTCGGGTAGGTTCGGATGCGTTCGGGCGTGTTCGGCTACGTCCGGTCGCGCCAGGTTTTCGAGCAAGTCCGGGTGGCACTCGGGCCAGGTCGGGCATATTCGGCTTCGTCCGGCCTCACTCGGGTGTTCGGCTATGTCCGACCGCTCTCGGTCTGTTCGGGTTCTGGGTCTCCTGGAGAAGCCCCTCAAGTCCAGCGTTTCTGAGTTCCCGCTTCGTGACGTCACCCGGAGGGGCGGGACTTCTTAGCTCTTACCCGGCCTCCGAGTGTGCCCGGTGACTGGAGGAGAGACACTCTTGGGGGCGGGCTAGTGGCGGTGGATACCCTAAACCTGTGCTCAGAGGGGGAGGCCTGGGAGTGGCTACCACCTACCCCTCCCTCTCATCTCCCCAAAAGTTCTGGGAAAAGCACACCTATGGATGAATAGGGAAACTGAGGCCGGGAGAGGCCACAGCGTGCTGGGTTCGAATCCAAGTAGCGAGCACGGAGAGTTAAGGGCTGAGCCGGGGTTTTGTCGCTACGGGGGAAGCTGTTTTTCTTTCTGCTCTAAACTTAGCCGAGAGCTGCTGGGTCAGGCCGTGGTTCCATGACGCGGGCAGCGGGGAGGAGCTCGCACCGACTGTGGGAACGGCGCGTCTGTCCATCTGTTAGACAGGTAAACTGAAGCACAGGGGCCTCGGAGAGACCTGCCCTCGCCCAGCCTCACGCCCTTGACGTCCTCGACGCCCCTGTGCTCACTCCGGAGTCCTCGGCGGGGACGCCTCTTCGCAAGCTTCTGGTGCCCTGGGGGCGCTCTCCCGGACCCGGGACCCCAGTCTCGGCCTGAAATGGCCCATCAGGCACCACCGTCACAACTGCCCCCCTCTCCACCAGCTGCCACTGGCCGTGTGACCTTGGAGAAGGGACCTTTAGTCTCTGAGCCGCAAGATGCCAAATTACCAAGTGAGAAAACCGCACGAGCCAAGCGCAAGGTATGAGACCCAGTCGGCGCCCACCAGCCCCACCTCCAACCCCAGCCTCTGCCCTGCGACCCACGATGTGACAATCGCTTCCTGAAGGGCCGGAATTCGAACCTAAAGCGGCGGAACGAGTCCTTGGAGAACGCAACCGAGTGGGGCTGCGCAGAGGCGGCGCTCTGCGCGGGTGCGCAACAAGCTCTCTTACACCGCGAACACCCTGCCTCAAAGGCCTCCATCAAATCACTTCTTCCTCCGCGGAGATCGAGGGCTTAGTGTGAGGCCACCAGGCCATCCCGTTGCTGGCGCCAGAACGGATGGCGGGGGCAGACCAAGGGGAGGAGTGACCCTCTTCCCTCCACCTCCAGGACTCTCAGCCCGCCTGCCCCGGGTTGGCGAGGGTCAGAAGGAGACGTGAGCCTCAGCCCGTCCTGCTCCAGGCCGCACAGCTGGAGAGGGACAGACGGCTGGTCCCCTGGGCGTGTGTCCAGGCGGTGGGTGGAGGGAAACAGAGATGGAGAGAGACAGTCATCAACTAAAAGAGACAGAGATAGGACAGAGGGAGAGAGATACCGAGAAAGGGCAAAGAGGCAGAGCCTTTATGCCCTGACCCCCAACCTGGCCCCAGCTGTCCTTGACTCTGCCCTTCCCACCACCAGCCCGGTTGTTCCCATGAGCCCTGCGAGGCCCACTGTCTCGCCTCACCACAGCGGATGGGCCACGGTGAAGCGCCGCTGCAGGCGGATGCTCTGGTTCACCAGGAGCTTCCTGAAGAGCCCGGGGGAGCCGCGCGGGGAGCCCCGGGGGGAGCTGGGCACAGGGGCCGGGGCGGACGCAGGGGGACCCTGCATCGCCAAGACCGCGTGGAGGCTGGACGGAGTACAGGCTGCGCGGGACCTTTTCTGGACAACCACGGGGGCGGGGCCCGGCGGGGAGAGGGCAGGAGGCGCACCCGCCCCGCCTTCGCCGCAGGACCGCTCAGGGACGCCCTCACCGGGACAAATGGGGAAACCGAGGCACTGAGCTAGACGGGACACTCTCTGCTTCCCCTTTGGGGGAGCCCAGAAACCGCATCTTATACCACTTCCCTCTGCCACCATGGCCCCCAGTAGTGCAGCTTGCTCAACTGATAACTCGGCTGAAAAGAGATACAGAAGTCAAAAAAGGAAGCGCTCTCCATTATCAGGGAGTCACCGAGACACAGAGTTTGCCGAGGGGCTGCCCAGATCCCACACAATGCTTGCAATACCCCTCTACCCATTTTCCAGATGGAGAAACGGAGGACTGAGCCACCAAGGGGCTGCTCAGAAACTACAAACCCTTAATCCTCTGTCAGGTGGGGAACTGAGGCTTGGAGAAAAGCGGTAACAGACGCAAGTCTTCACGGCAAGGCAGCTCCCCCTCTTCCTGTCCCCCTCTACAAGTCCCCACATGACCTCCACCTGCTCTGACATTCCCCAGGCCCTGTCTCTGGATCGTTTCCCCTCTCCCGCTGTCTCTACTGGACAAACATCCGTACTCCACTCCTGCCAGGCCTTCCGGTCCTGTGAAGCTTCAGCTGCCACCGCCCACCCCAGGAAGGACCCTTGGAAAGGGAAGCCTTGCCCCTGGTATCAGGCGGGGCTGTTCAGGGGTCTGTACCAGCTGGCCTACCCTCAGAATGCTGGGGTTGGGTGGTCTTGCCCCATTCTTCAGAAAAGGAAACCAAGTCTCGGAGAATGTCACACTTGGAGGCAAGACCCAGGACACCCACCTCTCAGGCAGAAGCAACCGAGGCCCACCTGAGGCCACACAGAAGCTATGGGCCTGACTGTGTCCTGCTGTGGGATAACAAGCCCCCTGCCTGGGCCTTGCCCCAGGGGACGGCACTAGTTTTGGGAGTCCCAGACAAATGCCACCCAGGTTTCTGGCAATCCTGGGGGGATGTGAGATACTATTTCGGGAGATCAGGGCTTCCGTGGTGAGACCCTGACCCTCCCCTGACATCTCAATCATACTATGGTCCCCGTTGCATAGATGAGAAAACGGAGGCTCACAGAGGAGTCACACTGGGGCTCAGGAGGACAGAGAGTCTCAAGGGTCTGGCTGGGAACCCCCTTCTGTCCCTGTGGCCCTGCAACCGGACACCTGGTGGGAATCAGACTCTCTGTCCCCAAGACAAAAATACCATCTGTAGCTGCTGTGGCTATACCTAATTATAGCTTGTCCCCAGGGGATAGAGGCCGCCAGGATCAGTCTAGTGGAGAGACTGGGGCTGGGTCCAAGGAGCCTTGACACCACCTCAGCCCCATGGGGGAGACTCACAGCGTTCTCATATCCCCAAGGAGAGACTGAGGAGATGCAGTCCTTCTCCTGAATTCACAAACATAAAATGGAAGGTTAAGGCTAAACACATGGGTACGAACTGAGCACTCCTTGCTCTCCCAGTGCTGAGCCAAGGGCTGTGCATGTAAAAGTCATTTTATTTTCAGAGCAACTCTATAAAGTGGGGACTATTATTCCCATTTTGTGGACGGGGAAACCGAGGCACAGAGAGGTGCGCTCATTGCCTGAGGTCATTCAAGCCTAGGTTGGCAGCCTCCCCAGCCTCTCCCAATGGCTCCATCTCCTCTGCAGTCCCAGGTGCTACTCTGACATTAACGCTTTATCAATAGTTTTAATATTAATGTTTCATTAATAGATTCAACTTTAAATACTTTATAACCAGTTTTAACGGTAATGCATTATCAATAGCTTTTTGGATGGAGAAACTGAGCCACACAGCCAAGATTCAGCATTGAAAACCTGGCCTGCCTGACCCTGGGAGATGACCCCAAGCTTCACCCAGGAAGGGGCAGAGGCCAAAGGAGGGGTTGATGTGACTTTGTTTCACCCTAACTTTGTCCCTGCACGCTATGTGACCTGAGGAGGTGCCCAGCAGCCTCTAATGTCCTTAACACTTCGGTGTCTCAATTTCCCCTATTTGAGCCTCTTCTCTGGGCGAGCACTTGTCTCCTCTGCCACCAGGTGGCCCCCGTGAGACAGGAGGTGGGTGCAGTTACACCCATTTTATGGACAAGTATACCATAAGTCTGACGCTTTGCACATTCTGTTCCTTCTGCTTGGCATACCCTTCCCTGCACTCCTCCCGGCTGACTTCTCTTTACCCTTCAGGCTAAGCTTAGATGTCACCTCTTCCGAGCAGTCCTTCCTCACCCCCTACCTCCAAAAGCTGGGTCAGAAGCCTCCTCTGGGCCCCACGGCACCCTGATCTCTCTCCATCACAGCACAGATCACTCTGTGTTGTCTCCAGCTGGTATGAGTCTGTCTGGAGAGGAGAGATGACTTGCCCAAGTCCGCCTGAAGAATCTAGTTATCTTTTTTTGTTTTTCTAAAAAAAAAAAAAAAGTTTTGGCCCCACTCCAGGACATGTGAGATTTTAGTTTCCTGACCACGTATCAAACCCGCACCCCCTGCCTCGGAAGCGCAGAGTCTTAACCACTGGACAACCGGGAAAGTCTCCCTTTGAAGAATCTAGATAGAGAGAGGAGGGTGGAGGCTGAGTCACATGTGCAGATGGTCACATGGGTCAGATCTCACCCTCCTCTGCTCCAGGTCCTCCTGTGGCTCTCCATTGCCCTCACTTCTGAATCCATACCTCCCTGGACGCCTGTGTGGCCTCACTCCTGCCGGCCTCCCCAGCACACTCCTCTTGGCTCACTCTGCTTCAGTTTCATCATCCCCTCCCCACTTGCTGTTTTTCAAAGCATCCAGGCTCATTCCTATCCCATGCCCTTGCCTGAAGGCTCTTCCCCTGCTAACTTTTTTTTATTTATTTATTTGGTTGCACCGGGTCCTTAGTTGCGGTTCACGGGCTCCTTAGTTGTGGCATGCGAACTCTGAGTTGTGGCATGCATGTGGGATCTAGTTCCCTGACCAGGGATCGAACCCAGGCTCCCTGCACTGGGAGTGCGGAGTCTTAACCACTGCGCCACCAGGGAAGTCCCCCCCCTGCTAACTTTTTTGTCTTTCAGGTCACAGTTGAAGCATCACCCCCTGCAGGAAGCCCTCCGTGACCAGCCAAGTAAAATAAATATTCTCAGAGCACCCTCCTCTCATGGGTACAATTTCACATTTACTGTCCTGATTATTTGATCTGTGTCTGCCTCACCTGCCAGCCCCTTGAGGGCAGGACCAGGTCTGCCTTGCTCCCAGTTGTGCCCTCAGTGCCCAGCACTCAGTAGGTGCTCAGTAAATGTTTGTGAGATGAATTAGAGCCTCCCCTCCCACCCTCCAGCCACACTGATCTGTGTTCATGTCCTCATATATCTGATCCTCTTGAGTCTGACGCTTTGCACATTCTGTTCCTTCTGCTTGGCATACCCTTCCCTGCACTCCTCCCGGCTGACTTCTCTTTACCCTTCAGGCTAAGCTTAAATGTCTTCTTCTTCCAAGCAGTCCTTCCTCACCCCCTACCTCCAAAAGCTGGGTCAGAAGCCTCCTCTGGGCCCCACGGCACCCTGATCTCTCTCCATCACAGCACAGATCCCTCTGTGTTGTCTCCAGCTGGTACGAGTCTGTCTCTACCTTTAGCCTATGAGCACCTGCTTGCCCTTGGGCTGTGGCCCCAGTACAGGGCCTGGCACATGGTAGCTGCTAAATAAATGCTTGCTGAACCAGATGCTCAGACCCTCCCAGACCCATGTGATCCACCTGGGGTACTGGGGAGGAGGGCCACAGCTGAGGACCGTGCTCTGGCACAGACCATGCATGACAAAATGCAGAAATTATGGGTTTGTGTTTGCATCTCACTGATGACACAGGCTCAGGGAAGCACCACCGCTTGCTTGGCAGCGCACAGAACATTGGCCTTGAACCTAGCTTCCCTGAAGGCTGAGCCTCTCCCACCACATCAGCACGTATATGCATGGGCAGGACACACACACACACTCACAGGAACACAACCCACCACTCCTGCCTTCCAGAGCCACGTGGTTCTCCCCCGAGATGGGCCCAAACCTAGTCTCTGCTTGTTCTTTCTCGAAGATGGAAAGTCATGAGTCACCGGGAGAGGGGAGGAGAAGCTGAGGGCTGGAGGGTGGAGGCAAGGGGCCTGCTGGGTCACCTAGGAAAGCTCCAACCCTTCTGGGCTGTGGGGCCCTTCTGCCCCAGACACCAGCCAGGGCTGCTGGAGGGCCAGGCTGGGGTGTTAGGCCAGGCTTGTTGATCAAGAAGTCTGTGGCCCCGGGAGGTCCAGGGACCAAGGCAAGAGAAAAGTCCAGAGAGGAAAGCGACTCACCCAAGGTCTCTCAGCCTGGCCTCAAACCCAGGGCTCTAGATCTGGCCTGATTTAGCTCCCCCTCCCATCCAAGGAGGGCCTGGGACTCCTGGATCCTGCTCTTTGGTGGCACTGAGGCCCCTCTGACCCCACTAAGGCCCCTGTTTTTCTGTGTTTCTATTCTGTCTTTGTCTTATTCTGCCCCCCTCCCTCAGTTTATATGAAACGGGAGCAGCCCCTCCCCCACCTCTACTCCCCTCTTCTCCACCTCATTCTTGTGTGGAAGAAACATCCTGTGCTCAGGCTTCCCAAGAGGCTTCCCTCTGACAGCAGGGGACACGTGAGTGTGTGCGTGTGTGTGTGTGTGTGTGTGGACACGCCACAGAGGAGGCTCCTCCCCCAGCACAGCAGACAGCCTGCCCTGGCCCTCTCATATACCCAACCCAAGCTCCCCTGAAATGCTTGCCGTGGCCACAAACCCACAAACACCCGAGGACACTCCAGGGTCTGGAGGGCCCTTGGACACCGAACTGGATCAGAGCGAGGACAGTCGCGCCCAGCCACACACACGGGCACCACAAGGGGAAACACCCAAGCACGTAGGTAACTGGTATACACACACCTGAACACATCCCCATCATCCACAGACACACAGCCAGCTGTGGACACTCACACAACAGATAGG